AAACTGACAAGAACCGGATGAAACAACAAAAATGAAAACAAATTTATTTTCCAACATAAGATCAAAATGGTCCCAGGAAACCTTTTCTTTGAAGCTGACCATGTAAAGGATCAAGAATTTATTTGGCAAATGCTTTTGACAGACTTGCTTCCTTATAAACACAGTTTGGCATCCAGTGTCATTTCAAAACAGTTCCTGTATTGGTCACGTGACTTGCTGAAACCAATACGCTCACCGACACGAGTGTTGGTCTATGTGCTTGATGCATGCGCCGGTGCGTTGGAGTTGCTGGACCCATCACTAGTCTCAACGTTCTCTCTCACCGGCATCACCCACAATTCATGACAATAAGTTTGTTTTACAAACAATTTTTTCACTTCATGAGACAAAAATGTGTGATTTTGATTTTAAAAGTTTTTTTAAGCAAAACTCAGTAGGCTTTTCTCATAGTGACATGCATTAACAATTCTTTTTTTTTTTCTGCAGTTCCACCTTAAAGTTTGATGCAGCTCTGCTTTCCTGAATGGACCATCTTCATCTCCACAGCAAGTGTAGCAAACAGGCAGCTCTTTTTTATAGATTACAGTCACTAAAAGGTTGTTTTAGAGCCCTTGTTTATATTTTTAATAGTGTAATTCTGTAAAGACAAAATATGTCTGGTGGTCTAGCTCTGATTTACATATCTTGCTAAATAGACCTGCAGAAAGAAATTACTAATAAAATATCTTATAAAATAAAATATCTAGCATAGTTGTATGATCTATATAGAGATTTACCTTAGCTTTGATTCCATATCTCACAATTTTGTAATTTATCATTGTTTATTAAACTCTGAAACCGCATTATTCTGTCCTATAATGTGCCCTTTTTTTTTTTTTTTTTTGAGCTCCTGCCCCTTTAGTGGTCTCTGCACGGCCCTGTTCACTACTTAGGAAACATGAAGAATGCATACTCAATGCATTCTTCACAAGAAAGATTACGTAATGTTCTATTTTTAAGATAAACTGTATTTTTTACTAAACTAACACGCATAATCTAATACGAGTTTCTCCAAGATGAAAATTCAATTACAGACATAATATTCTGATTTATTTAGCTGTACTTTTCCTTCCATGTTCATGAGGGGGGGAAAAAACAATATGGTTTCTGCAGCTCCATGGAGGTGTGTTAACGGTGCCATTGTTGCCAGTTTCTGGGTATGTGTGACTGCAAATAGTTGGGGAGCTTTACGACCTGAAATCTATGGACGCATATAATCATTGTTTAAATGGATTTGTAATGGATGTACAAACACTCCATCCAGGTGAATAACAAGGTTCTGGTGACTGGTAGACTGGTCACTCTATGTGTGAGATGACCTGATGTGTAAAAAGAAAACCTGAAGACTAGAGCCAGGACACCAAAGGGACTTCTGTATCTTCTTCATTCAGAAAATACAATTTATCCCTTCTTCCTAGACTGTGGGAACCTCCAAGAACCTCCAAGAATCTTAGCACCCTTAGAATCTCAGCACATAGTGTTTAATGTGTATTCGGTCAGGAACAGAAATCCATTGTACACTAGGGAGGATTGTGGTGACAGTTGTAGGTGTTTGTCCCACAATCGGAGGGTTTCCAGTTCTCCATCTCTGCTGAGTGGGCCCAGGTGGGCAAGAGCCCCACCTGGTGGGGGTCACAGGGCTTGGTGGCACCAGTGCATAGGAGCAACCATTGGTTTACCACCATCAGAAAGGGAATGTGTGTGAATGACTAAATGCAGCGTCAAGTATTTTGGGGTCCTATAGACTTCGTAAATGGTACAGGCCGCTTACCATTTACTCTGGATCTGAAAATTGAGAAAATGCTAAAAACCTCAGCGGGGTATGAATATTTTTCTCAAAGCTCTACTGACTGTGTATTCTAACCATGGATCACTTAACCTTGCTCTCATAGCAAGCTCCAGACTACCGGCTGTATAAGAGCGAGCCTGAGCTCACAACTGTGAAGGAGGAAGGAGACGAGGCCAACGGTGATGATAAGGACAAGAATGAGACGTCTACTGAAAGTAAAGCCACCCCACCATCCAAAGGTACATTCAGACTTTGTGTTTACTGACCGACAGCAGGATAATGATGTTTACACTGAGGTTTCTTCTTGTGATATTGCGAGAAAATGTGATGCATCAGATAAACTGGTTTAAATTGTAAATTTAGGAGAAATAGGCTGTTATGCCAAGAACGCAGTATACCCAGGATGCAGGTGGTCCCTACACCATTTCCCTATAACATTAAAGAATGTACACTATATATTGCCAAAAGTATTTGCTCACCCATTCAAATGAACTGAATTGGGAGTTACAATCACTTCTATAGGTTAAAATAGAGAGCTGCTATTGCTCTCTGAAGAAATGCACCAAAAACAATCAGTCAGAGTCAGGTGGAGGGTCTTGGCGCTGTCAGTCATGCTCGTGTACATGCTGGTAAATGGTGGAGAAACAATTTACCATGGTAAATTGCCAGCATTTGTGGCAGCACGTACAAAAGCATGATAGGGACGATTTTTTACCTGCAATCAGTGGGTTCCTCTTTTGTCCTCTGTCATTGTGTGCTTGGGCAAGACACTTCTCCCACTTTGCCTGATGGTGGTGGTCAGAAAGTCCAGTATTGCCAGTCCATTGTATTACTGGTGAATGTGTGTGAGTGGGTGAATGTGTGTGAGTGGGTGAATGTGTGTGAGTGGGTGAAGTGTGAAGTGCTTTGGAGTCCTGTGCGCTTGATAAAGCAAGTACCATGATGGACAGCACTAAGACCCTCCTCCTGATTCGTTGCTGTGGATCAGTGCATTCCTGTCTCATTCCATTCTCACACCATAGTGACAGTTTTACCAAAGATGTAAGGAAAATGTATAAAAGTTGCATACTACAGCTTTACAGTAATATAGCATGAATAAAGATGACAAAGACATGAGGAATAGTGATTGGTCTGAGTATGTGCCAATTTAAACTGAGGAGTATAGTTATCTTTTATGCAGCAGTATTCTTTATGTAATCTGCATATGATTTATAAACATTTAATGCACATTCACTAAATGAGCACTTGAACCTAAGTGATGGTACTTATTCTGGTGATTTCCTTAAACGGGCAATATTATTTGTTTTCCATCCAGATAGTCTAATTTATAGCAAAATCAAGAAACTGTTGTTGTAAAAATACTGCATAATTTTATAAGAAAGCAAAAATATTCAAAGTCAAGGGGAGAAAGTCCAGACTGTGCTGGAAGTGACAACATTTTTCGAGCTGAGGTGCACAGGAAGACGATGACTAGGCTAGGTTGCCACAGCACATTAAAGGATTTCTCAAACACGCATGAAAACTCCAGATATGTTGTTGATAAGGGAATAACATAACATTGTGTAAAGCTAAAAATAAGTTGATTTTACATAATACTTCCCCTTTTTCATGTCTCTTTTCTTTTCCATCTCTTTATCTTGTTGTCTTTGTAGCATAGTTCAGTGTTTTGCCACAAAATGAACAGCTTCACTGCTTTTTGCTCGCTAAAGGGTAAGTGACGTGTTTATTTTCCTTTACAGTGCCCCCCTACCCAGTGGGCATTGTTGCTCCGAGGACTAAATCTCCCATGAGCCCCCCTGAGTCTTCAACTATCGCCTCCTACGTCACTCTGAGGAAAACCAAAAAACCTGAATCTAGATGTGTAAGTGTCAACATCAATTTCTTCTGCATCAACAGACCCTCAAACCCTCAAACATGAAAAGGCTCGTTGGCAGACCTTATTGTCCCTTCAGCAATGTGTGTCAGAAGAGTGACTCACCAAATTAGAGAGTAACTTATTCAGGGTTTTCACAGATTCGATAAAATGTATTTATATAATACCAATCCACATCAAATCCCATCTCAAGGTCTCAAGATCAGTTTATCATTCAAATTAGATAAAAAGTTTTCTTTCTAAGGGAACTTGGCAGAGTGCACATACTTACTTGAAATACTCGTTCTTCCTGGACAGACATGTAGCAGCAGTGGACTATTGTGGCATTGCTTCATTGACAGTGAAGAAGAAAAACTCCTCTTAAAAGGGAGCCATGATTAGTTGAACATGTTAACTTAATTGTAATATTCATATTAACTAAACTAAAAAAAAAAAACCTCAAAATTATTTCAAAAATTGTATATTTTTCTCTCCATGGATGTCACTTTTTTTGTTGGTTTTTTTTATGATGGTTTTCGTCATACAAACCATCATAAACAACAGATGGATCTTGTTGTTTATTATTATTATATTGCTTTTGACTGGTGTAAACTTAGACAGTGGCACACTGTGTAACTGTTGGCCGTAATTTAAAAAAATAGTGACACATGACAAAAGAAGAACAAAACTTCAAAAGGATCCTGATTTGTCCCCTTAATATTTCTCTCCAGAAGCTAACAGGTGGTTGCTACCCTTGCAAGCTAAAGCCAAATGCCATGCAGTAGTTTTTATCACAAAAGTGGCTATCAAATGAAAGACACTTGATAGCCAGCAGCTTCTTCTATCTCCGCCTGCAACATTATGAAGTGATGTTGTTGGAGACTTTAATGGTGACAACACTCCGCAGCTCGACTGCAGCCTGTCTGTCATGAGCGAGCAGTGAGAGCGGCCATTAGCCTCCACGAGCTTCTCCTTCCTCAGCACAATGCAGTCAATCTGACAGTCATCAGTTCAAAACCAAACCTTTACTAATGCATAACTGAACTAGAAGTGATCCGTGCCATATTGGTAGGCAAGCATACTGCAAAGCAAACAGAGCCATGGCTTCGAACAGCAAAAAGAAAGTATATTGACACTCTTGACCAATGTGCAAGAAGAGGATTGATACCTAAAATCTGGTTTGTGTCTAAACAACTAGTTCACAATAAAAATCAGAAGTGAAGAAGGACAAAAAAATTATTTTGGGAAAGTAATATTTGGTTAAATTACCAAGTTAGCCTTTTGGTTCGTAGTCTGTTGATTAGTCTCTGCAGTGTCGAGAAAAGTCGAGCTCATCCCACTTCCCCATGCTGGAGATTTTAGTTTAATAATAACAATG